TCGATCCTTATCCTTATATCCCAGAAAGTAAATGTATATACAGTATAAGGATTCTTCGTTTTTGGCATCTAAAGTACGGAGTATCACTTCGAATTCGTTTTACGTTGAAAGGGATCGGATGCCTTACATTTACGCTCGAATTCCCACGAATTTCCTTCAAGTTTTTCAATGGAAATTCCGGAAAGCTACCAGTATTATTGCCTGGAAGTTCTTGCATATACGGGATACGTTTAATAATATTGATAGAAACCGATCGGTTTATAGGATAGCCAAGAGATACGAGGTCGGTTAAATTAAGGCAAGAAGATTTGATGTGACATTTTTAGTTTTTGAATTATTGGAAAGTGGTGATTATGGTTCTTCCTAGCTCATCAATATCGATCGGTACAGTTTTGAGAATTGATTTTTTTTATATTTCCCAATAAATAATAAACCAGCGGAGAAAGATCAGGTGACCGCGCTGGCTAACGTATATGTTTCCGTTGTTGGAAATTACCTTGTCAGGAAACATCTGACAGACACCTTGCGTTATGTGGATAAGCTTAAGAATTCAACAGTTCTGTTCTTATATTCAATTGAACTGTCAAATTCAGTTTGTTGAACAAAACTGTTGGCTTTCCTTCTAAATCAATCTTCGCAAAAATGATTTTTTCCCAATTTTGATCAACAGGAAAGATTCGATCATATCGTGTGATACATCATTGTAATGAAAAAAAAAGGACCTTTCAAAAAGGCAAAAATTCAATATGGCGCCTATAGGAAGAAAACAAAGTTGAGTGTTGTTACTCTGACATCAAGAGCGTCAAGGAAAATACGATGACAGCTTCAGATTCCTTGTGAAAAAGTGCCTTGAGAATGATCTATTCCAAAACGTCTATGCGTTTTGGTTTTTGCTTGAAAAAATAAAAACCAGAATTACAAATTTTCGTTTCCTTCAAATAATTCAAAAACTGAAAATGACACATCAAATTTTCTTGCAGATGAATGTTCAGCATGAAGATGCCTAACTTTGCCCTAATTTAACCGACCTCGTATCTTTTATAATACCGAGATCCCTATGGTGGAGCTTGAAAAACGGGCACCCTGTATAGGGTGTTTTGAAGTTCAAAAATTGCAGTAGGCATCGACATTTTTGTGTTCCTCAATCTAAACTTCTGGTATTCACAAAATATAATGTATTTTCAATGAATATAAAAAAAAATAAAAAATTATGAGGGTGGCCCACTTTCAATTTCAAAACACCCCGTATATACAGGGTGTTCCTTGATGATATGCTAATATCCAAGGGACCGATTCTTCGACACATTTCAAGCATAAAACTTCATATGAACGTATGTCGTAAACGTCATAACTTTTGAGATACAGGGTGTCAATATTGAAAATATGCACTGATTATTTTTTTGTCCACCCTGTATAGCTTTTCGTGATGGCAAAATTCAGTCTGCTATGTGACTGAATCGGTATACAAATTTCAAAATGTTACACACTGTGGTTATCCAGTAATGGATGTCGTGAATGGAGTACTCAGACATCAAAATTTGGAGTCATGGTCTCGTATTACTGTTTTTTCACGAAAACGAAGCGTTCTATCAACATGAGTATATTTTTTACATTATTAAATAGCCTTTTTTCTGTGACGGGAAAAAAGGCATTTCATCTCTGTTGGCAGGTTATAAAATGTCACTTTTCATAAATTACTTTTTTCCCGTAGGAGAAAAGTGAGTACTTTTTTCCCGGATATAATATCACATATACATACACTGTTGATGGCTTTTGTTGTGCTATAGTATAGAAAAATGAGTCGATAATACCGTCTCCGAGAAAGAACTGCAAGTCCTTTTATCTTCTATTCGACTTCGCGGTTACGTATATTACTAAACTATCACTAAATTCGCAATTTTTTTAAATCAAATCACAGAATTAGACTGACAGAAGTCCCTACTGTTAAAAACTTAAGATTTCACGTCGATAATTTTCAGATTTCAAAATAATGTTATATCTTCTTAATATTGATTCGTCCTCTCTTCTGTCACAGAAAAAAATATTAGAATTTATCTCACGGATTTTTGTCTCCCTCCGCTACGCGGGACAACACAACCTAGAGCTAAAATCTACTACTTTTTTCCCTTGTATAATAAATATATACAATTGGAAAAATTATTGAAAATTGGAAAAATTCCTGAAAATTGCAGAAATTGCAAAAATCCCTGAAAATTGAGAAAATTCCTGAAAATTGCAGAAATTCTTGAAAATTGCAAAAATTCCTGAAAATTAGAAAAATTTCTGAAAATTGCGAAAATTCCTGAAAATCGGAAAAATTCCTGAAAATTGAAAAAATTCCTAAGAATTGAAAAAATTGCAAAATTCCCTGAAAATTGCGAAAATTGCAAAAATTCCTGGAAATTGCAAAAATTGCAAAAATTACTGAAAATTGCAAAAATTGCAGAAATTGCGAAATATCCTGAAAATTGGAAAAATTCCTGAAAATTGGAAAAATTCCTGAAAATTGCAAAAAATCTTGAAAATATCAAAAATTCCTGAAAATTAGAAAAATTTCTGAAAATTGCGAAATTTCCTGAAAATCGGAAAAATTCCTGAAAATTGAAAAAATTCCTAAGAATTGAAAAAATTGCAAAATTACCTGAAAATTGCGAAAATTGCAAAAATTCCTGGAAATTGCAAAAATTGCAAAAATTACTGAAAATTGCAAAAATTGCAGAAATTGCGAAATATCCTGAAAATTGGAAAAATTCCTGAGAATTGGTAAAATTCCTGAAAATTGCAAAAATTTCTGAAAATTGCAAAAATTGCAAAAATTTCAAAAATTCCTGAAAATTGCAAAAATTGCAGAAATTGCGAAAATTCCTGAAAATTGGAAAAATTCCTGAAAATTGGAAAAATTCCTGAAAATTGCAAAAATTGCAAAAATTTCTGAAAATTGCAAAAATTGCAAAAATTGCAAAAATTACTGAAAATTGCAAAAATTGCGAAATAACCTGAAAATTGGAAAAATTCCTGAAAATTGGAAAAATTCCTGAAAATTGAAAAAATTGAAAAAATTTCTGAAAATGACAAAAACTGCAAAAATTCCTGAAAATTGCAAAAATTGCAAAAATTACAAAAATTCCTGAAAATTGCCAAAATTGCAGAAATTGCGAAAATTCCTGAAAATTGAAAAAATTCCTGAAAATTGGAAAAATTCCTGCAAATTGAAAAAATTTAAAAAATTCCTGAAAATTGGAAAAATTCCTGAAAATTGAAGAAATTGAAAAAATTTCTGAAAATGACAAAAACTGCAAAAATTCCTGAAAATTGCAAATATTGCAAAAATTCCTGAAAATTGCAAAAATTGCAAAAATTCATGAAAATTGAAGAAATTGCGAAAATTCCTGAAAATTGGAAAAATTCCTGAAAATTGCTAAAATTGCAAAAATTCCTGAAAATTGCAAAATTTGCAAAAATTCCTGAAAATTGCAAAAATTGCAAGAATTGCAAAAATTGCAAAAATTGCAAAAATTGCAAAAATTGCAAAAATTGCAAAAATTGCAAAAATTGCAAAAATTGCAAAAATTGCAAAAATTGCAAAAATTGCAAAAATTATAAGAATCGAAAAAACTGCAAAAATTCCTGAAAATTGCAAAAATTGCAGAAATTGCGAAAATTCCTGAAAATTGGAAAAATTCCTGAAAATTGCAAAAATGGCAAAAATTGCAAAAATCCCTAAAAATTGAGAAAATTCCTGAAAATTGCAAGAATTGCAAAAATTACTGAAAATTGCAAAAATTGCAGAAATTGCGAAATATCCTGAAAATTGGAAAAATTCCTGAAAATTGCTAAAATTGCAAAAATTCCTGAAAATTGCAAAAATTGCAAAAATTCCTGAAAATTGCAAAAATTGCAAAAATTGCAAAAATTACTGAAAATTGCAAAAATTGCAGAAATTGCGAAATATCCTGAAAATTGGAAAAATTCCTGAAAATTGCGAAAATTCCTGAAAATTGCTAAAATTGCAAAAATTCCTGAAAATTGCAAAAATTGCAAAAATTCCTGAAAATTGCAAAAATTGCAAAAATTACTGAAAATTGCAGAAATTGCAGAAATTTCGAAATATCCTGAAAATTGGAAAAATTCCTGAAAATTGGAAAAATTCCTGAAAATTGCAAAAATTGCAAAAATTGCAAAAATTGTAAAAATTGAAAAAAACTGCAAAAATTCCTGAAAATTGCAAAAATTGCAGAAAATGCGAAAATTCCTGAAAATTGCAAAAATGGCAAAAATTGCAAAAATCCCTAAAAATTGAGAAAATTCCTGAAAATTGAAAAAATTCCTGAAAATTGCAAAAATTGCAGAAATAGCGAAAATTCCTGAAAATTGGAAAAATCTATGAAAATTGAAAAAATTGCAAAAATTCCTGAAAATTGCAAAAATCGCAAAAATTCCTAAAAATCGTGAAAATTGCAAAAATTCCTGAAAATTGCAGAAACTGCAAAAATTGCAAAAATTCCTGAAAATTGTCCAATATAGCATTGTACGAAATTTGAAAATTTTCTGTCATTGCTCACTTTTATGTTAAATATAAACAATAATATTCCTGTAACGGTGCCACTGGTAGAGGAAATGGAAATTCTCGTACATCAGAAAATGCACCTTGATGCATAAAAGACGTGTACCAAATTTCATGAAGATGAATACAATATTGTCTCAGTTATAAGTTTTCAAAACTTCATCATCCTGTATCTCAAAAGTTAAGACTTTTAGGACATACGTTCATGTAAAGTTTTCTTCTTGAAATGAGTCAAAGAATCATCCCCTCAAATATTAGCATGTCTTTAAGGAACACCCTGTATATAGCAGTTCAGAACCGTTCCACTATCATTCTGTCCTCGAACAACCCAAACTTGTTTCATTCATCCCCATGTACGCAATCCATTAATTTCCATTTTTCCTCCCGTCAAATTCTTATGCAAAACAGCCCCATCAAACTGAAGTGCCTCTCTCACCTTGGACAAAGTGGTGGGATGGGGATACAGATTGACGAGGCAGCTCTCCCTGCGGAGCCGATAGTCCCAGCGCGTCTCCAAATGGGGCATCTCCATCGTGTCGCAGATTGACTGCACGTGACTGGCCGTGTGGGCGGACTGGGGACCAAAGATGGCCGCCACGCCGATCCGGAGCAGATGACACACTGGAACAAGAACGAAACTAATGAAAAAAACGGCAAACGAAACGGTGATGGTCCAAGAGCCATCTGCGAATTTAAACCGTCATCTGATAACGAAATTATACACTGAGAAAACTCTGCCAAGTAAATCGTTTCCTTGAAAAAAAGTCGATTGTTACAAGAACATTTTCACAAACTATAGAAAAATGAGACACTTGAAGTAGGCAAAACTACGAAAGCGTAAAAGGGGCACAAAAATAATAATTTCCATTTCGAATCTCGGAAATCCGAATTAGAACTCGGAATTCCGACTTAAATCTCAGTATTTCTACTTACATCCCGGAATTCCGACTTATAACTCGGAGTTCGGACTTTTGCAATCGGGTCTCAGTATTTATTTCATACCATCATAGTGGCAATCGAAGGTTGAGCAAAGGAAACAATTTGAAAATGTCTAATCATTGAACAGTTAACTTAGTTGAAGAAATAGTTGATGACTAATGACACCTTTGACTAACATGATGACCTGAAGAAACTGAATAATTGCTAGTTAAGAATGTTCCAAATTCAATGGGGAAGACCACTGATTTTTTAAAACGGCATTATCGTGAACTCTATACTGAAAAACTACCAGTGAATCAATTTTGAATTTTTTCATTCGTGCTAAGACGATGAAAAAAATAAATCAGCATGTCCATTTCAAAACACACAATTCCTGTGCCATTTGCAATTTCATCAATTCATTGGTGTGACTGGTGCGACGTCTTAGTCCCAACACGCCTATTGTCCTTGAACTGACCAATTACACTGCAACACTGCAGAATGACGAGTTATTAGAGAGAGATAGCTACAGTTCGGGACTAATACGTCACGACTCCATCATCATATTTGGCTGTTTGAAATATCAAATGAAATATGCTGATTTCAAAACGATATAGATTCGATTCCCTTCAACTTCAACTCATAATATTGATTGTACATAAAATGTAAATCATGATTCGTCGATTGAAAGAGGTTTGCACGGATTTCTTCCCTCAGTGGTCTTCCCCATTGTTCTCTTTTTTGTCTATTGGTTCCTTTAAAGCATACTATAACGCCATCTACGTACCTATACCAATACAAACATTGTTTTATTAATGAATGTTTATGTATTATTCGCTCCAAGTTATCCATGAAGATTTCAGCAAGTTTCCCGCAATTTTCCCATAATCAACCCTTTTGACGCGGAATATATTTTGTTGTCAATTGTTCTTTCTTTATTTTCAGAATCCGAATAAAATTTACAATTTAATGGATAATCCTTCATTTGACAATAACCAACAAATAAGGTCGAGTTCAGAAAAACTCATTCTGCACCGAGGTAATATTTTCAATGAGTTGCTTGCTGCTTTTCAACAAAGAGAAGTGCTTTTTCAATCAATCCAAATTGAAATGATTCTTCCAAATGGTGAGCCTGAGCGGGCCGAAGATATTGGCGGGATACTGCGTGATTGTATTTCAGATTTTTTCCAAAACTTTTATGAAACATGCACCATGTGGGCAAAACTCAAAGTACCTGCTTTACGTCATGATTATCAGAATGAAGAATGGGGTGCAATTGGCCAAATGATCAAAGAAAGTTTCTTATCTGAAAGATATTTCCCCATCCAATTGGCGCCTACAATTGTAAAGAATTGTCTGGGCCAAGAAGTAAGAGATTCTGAGGTGTTAGATAACTTTCTCAAATATATTTCACCAACAGATGCTTGTCTATTGAGAAACGCCTGAGATAATTTTAAAAACGTAGAATTGGAGGAACTGAACGAGTTTTGTGGCAATTATGATGTAAAATTGGTTCCTTCTGAAAGTAATTTTCAAAAGATGAACATTCAAATAGCTAGAACAGTAACTCACACAAATTCTATGCACGAATCGGACCTATTTTCTACTGCAAGCGCAGCTAAATGAGATCAGAATATGATTTTGAGATTAAGTCGGAATTACGAGATCCAAGTCGGAATTCTGAGATCTAAGTCGGAATTCCGAGATCTAAGTCGGAATCCCGAAATATAAATCGGAATTTCATTCGAAATAAAAATTATTATTGTGGCTCTTCTACGCTTTCGTACAAAACCCGATTTCGGAAACAATGTTTCTGCTGTTAATGATCAGGACGCTTGTTGGTAATAACCAAATCGATATGTATTTTGAGTTCGCTAATTATAAGTAAACACTAAACTAGTGCTAGGTTAACGAATACCCACCATTATTAAATTATTTTTCTGAAACAAAATCACTTGCTCTCAACGAACTGATCGATGAAGACAATCTATCAAGTCGATTGGTGCAGGTGACAGCTCATCACCTGTGGTTATACATCTTTTCTCCGCTCGGACATCCCCGGTATATTATCCGGATGCCTACGTCCAACACGATCACTCCCACTGTCCACGGCTTCATTATGATCTTAGCTTTTGTGAAGTATACATGCGTTCTCGCTAGTGAAAATGAAATTTCAAGTCATATAAGTGTCCATCTGACCAACTGCTATATATTATACTCTTGAAAATTATCTTTTTGTGTGCCGCGTTCTGAGCTTGGGGTGTTGAGTTCTTGATCTGTTATTCTTTTTATCGGTCAAAACGGTTTTTATGTCCCTATTCTACCTTTTGATTTACTACCTACTGACATTTAATTGGAACAGATACAGGGTGATCAGAATTCTGAGTCTTGAACCATCCGTTCTCCGTAAACGTCTAAGGTACCATGTACCGCGTGACCCACCTCGTATATCGTATCCGCCAGGCGTATCTCACAATGACTTGAAATTAGTTCACATTTTTCCACTTTTAGCACAACAAGAAGAAAAATTAAGGAGGGATTTCTGGGAAGCGTGCAAACAGTATTATATTTAAAGGATGAATTCGAGTGGGAACAAACGAGAATTCGCGACGGGGGTTAGAGTAATGTCATCAAGGAACAGGATTACGGATTACAGATGGGGAAGGTTTCTTATTTATCTCAGGTTAAATTGATTACGTTACGAGACATTATTTCCAGAATTCACATCGTGTTATCATGATAATTTTAATCTTGAAAAACAATTTAATGCAGATGTGATTAAAAATGTGTTTCCTATATTGAGGTTTATATCTCACTGTGAAGTTTGTGAAAAATTAATATATACGTATTTTTTCTTTTTTCGTCCGATCAAATTTCACTTCAGAAAAAAATAAATAAAAGAGTAACTTGGCTCCTCCACCATTCCTATCACGTACTTTCTGAAAATCCACATTCACACAGAGTTAAAATACGATTTCGTGTGCCAGTACGACGTTGCCGACATCATCAATACTTATGTCTAGATTTCCGGAAATTGTTCTTTAAATGCATAATATCTATATCATAACAGCGATGAGATATAATAGGTTCTTCAATCCTACTTTGTCAAGTATTATGAATAATTCCCATAAATCTCTCATTGGCTGAATGAAGTCGATTGCTGATAAAGATAAATCATGATATTTTGCGATAGTATCTATGATTGTTCACTATCGTTATATTGCAATATGTTATTCATAACTCTGTCAATCATTTTTTGCTAATGAATTGGTTCCTTAAGAAAACAGATCTATTTTCTAGGAAAGTTGCAGATTATATCTTGCAACAGCGCCTAATACTTCGAGTCCGTCCACACCACTCAAAATACTGACAGGCACAACGAGAGGAAGGATCCATGGGTGTCGGCTTCATTCTGTTCTGACCGATGGCAGTAAATTAGGAAGGATAGTATCATTGAATGTAGTCGATAGTGATTCATTGTTTTAATGATATTTTCGTTTAGGATCGAGATCTATTCGAGATATTTCAATGCATAAATAACAAAATCATAACCTGCCAGAATGAAGCCAACTACCTTCTGCATTCCTGCTCCGAGTGAATTTGTGGTTATGTATGTTTTTGTGTACCAGTTGCTTCTCCTTCTATTTTTTCCATCTTTTTTCATTCGTTAGCTATTCATTAGCTATATTCTTCACCATCAGCCATTTTCAGACTAGATTCAGAATGTACGTCACAGTTTGCCGGCTTGAAAATTAGAAATTGCTTTTACTTGAGAATGAAAACGACTTGGACTTCATCGGTCGCCATTCTGTACAGCGTGGACATAAAACTGGAGAGTTCCGAACTCATTTTCTGAAAATTCATCTGAAGGAAACTTCCCCAAAATTGGTTTGGTCATTGAGACGAATGAACTTTAGGTTGGTAATACATTTTTGAATTTCTAAAATTTCAAGAAGGTTCAGCCGTGGACCATTATTACAAACATGAATACCTAATATCCATATTAGAATTGACATCAAAAGAATGGTTGGAATCAATAACATAATTTGCAATGGACGATAGGTAGTAGGACTATCTGAATTGAGAAATTTCTGTACGAGTCTATTATGTATTGTTTTTCTTTGAAAAATTATTGGACCACTTTGAGAAGGAAGGATGGTTCTCATGTTTCAATCAAGATCCTCATTCCTCAATTCCGACGTTCTTCTTTTTCTTTCTCTTCTTCTTCTTCTTCTTCTTCTTCTTCTTCTTCTTCTTCTTCTTTTTCTTCTTCTTCTTCTTCGGGCCCATTGTGCGCCCACATGTTCCAACATTCAGCTGGGTATGCCGACTTCCTTGGAGAAGTTCAGCAGCTTCCTTAGCTGAATCTCTTTCACGTCCTCTGGCCTCATAATTATGTTGCCAAGGACAGCCCTCCTCTGATGTGTCAGTGCTGGGCACTCAGTGAGGACAGACCATCTGCAAAGGGATCATCTTTGATCCCAATAGGCTCTAGGTGCCTATTGAGGTGGTTGTGCCCCGTTAGGAGCCACACTACCATTTCAAGGTCTCGCCTGTTGAGGGATAAACCCTCTTTTGTGAGCCTCTTCGAAAGTTCCTCTATGTGGAGCTTCCATTGTCTCATTCCTGGTGTGTCCTGCCATATTTTGAGGAATTGCTTTTGCAGCTGTCCCTTTATGGAGGACATTGTTTTCGACGTATAT